CTCACTGAGCTCGCGGGCCTGTTACTAGCGAGTGCGCCTGGATGGAGGAGATGGGGGAGGAATTGGGGCCACTGTGACCCCGGGCGGGAGGGGCTGGGGGGGCGCACAGTGACCCCGGGAGGGGCTGGGGGGGCCGCACTGTAATCCAGGGCCGCTGTGCGGTGTCTGGGGCGTGGGGGAAGTAGCTGGATGGAGAAAACTGGGTCTTGTGGGGGATGTCCGCAGGGTCTGGCCGCTAATCTCCATTATACTGTTCAGCCATTAGGTGGCGCTGTATGTAACATATCCTATTTAAGCTCCCCGCATCTGTTCCTGGCAAAGCTTTGGGGACGAACACATCTGGGGAGTGAGCGAGCTCTGTAGCTGGCGTCTACATCTGGTATACATGACAGACATGAGGATCCAGAAGGCGAGATGGGCATCTGGGACTGCAGCTGGGTTTGGAGGGCTGCCCTCCCTCTCCCCAGATCCCTGTTCCAGCCCAGCACATCGCTCCTGTTGTGCACCTTGGACAGCGCTGTGCAGATGCTGGGGTGTGGATGTCTGCTCCTGGCTGGGGGTTTCAGAGGTTTCCCCCCGCTCCCCCCATCTTCAGTTATTGCAAAGTTGAGGTGGGAAAGCTCCAGCCATCCTGTTCACCCCGCCATGGGGACAGCCTGTTTGCTCACATCGTGGTGCTGGAAGGGGATGACTAGAGCTGCCTGTTCTAACTGGACAGGCTCCTTTCTCTACATTGCTATCAAAACGTTGGAGGCAGAGGAGACTGAGGTGGATGTTTCCTTCACAAATCAGAGGCAAAAGCCCAGCTCTAGCTCCCTGGTGCGCCAGCCGTGGCTGAAGTGTCTCCAGATCAGCTGGCTCTGTGCCCAAATTGTCGATAGCATCTGCTCAGCCCCTCTTGTTGGGTTCTTTCAGAGGTTCTTGTGGGAATCAACCCTCAAATGGCTGGGATTGAGGGGGATGGGGGGAGTAGGGGGCTGGGGTAGGGGAGAGTGCCCTGCCGACACTGGGATTATACTGCCCTCTTTAGTTACTCCATTTAACCAAGAGAAGGTGCCTGCAGTCTGCCTGGGGAGAGATTGCACAGGCACATATACGGGCTCCCCTGCCTGGTGCCCTTCAATAGCTCAGTAGTTCATGCAGGTGGTGTAGTGTACTTGGAATGATGCCCTTAGATCTCTGGTTTGAGTCCAGCTGGGAGGAATGGTCCCTCTCCTGAAAAACAGCTGTGCCATGGCCGCTCACACAAAGCATGTTAATATCTGCCTGGCATTTGCTGCCAAAGCCTTAGGCTTCCCTTTGTAAGCAGAGATGTGAGGAGATCTGTGAGTGAAGGAGTGACAGGATGAAGCAAGGACATCCAGGGCCTTCTCTGAATAGAAATGTGGAGGTTGTACCTCGAGGGCATCCCATGGGGTGAAGGTGGGCCTGTCCCAGACATCCCTCTCTGGCTATAGATGTTGCAGTTTAGAGTGTGCTTCTCCGGCTGTAGGTCTGAGGGAGATGGCAGCCCCCCTTCCAGGAGTAAAGCAGTCCAAAACCAGCAAGGGCAAACCAAACAACCTTGGAGCCCACAAAGAGTGCAGGCTCCCCCAGCAGTTGCCTGAAAGGTAAGAGGGCAGGGGTGACTGGGAAGAGGGCCTGACTCCCTGACCCCTCCTGTCCTGAGGACCTAGGCTGAGGGTCTTGGGTTCCAAACAAAGTAAGGATGGTCCCTCTACTTCAGGGGATGCAGGCAGCAGAGGCTCTTCAGACATCCTGGTAAGCAGCCCCTTGGGCTAGGGAGCTCTTCTCTCTGAGTGCCACCCTGCATGTGGCTTGGGTCCTCCCTTTTAAAGGGCCACCCCTCTCCAAGTTTGACAGGCTTCCCACCTGTGCCAGGTTGGGGCTGACTGTGCCCAGCTGAGTTCTGTAACCCCTTCCTGCCTGAGGGGTGAGAACTGTCCTGTCCCACCACAGGAACATAAAGGGTCCACATCTCCCAGGCAGCAGGCACAGAGCCAGGCACCTAGAGCACTCCTGCAACTGGTTGGTTGGCCATAAGGATTCCTTTCCTTCTACCCCCAGGTAGGGGCAGAAGCTCTTTCCTTACTCTCCCTATTTCACAAAGTGGGGAGTGCGCTTAGGAGCTGAGTATGAAGCTGTCCTCATTGAAAAGGGCCTCATTTGGCAAAGGCACCTGATGGGCCTGCCAAAGTCAGGATTGAACCAGGTACCTCTAAGCAGTCAGTGCTATGTTTGCCCGAGGGCACTGAAGTGCTGGGCTTTGGCCTTTTCTCTCTGGGGAAGGTTCTTGGTGATGAGCCATGAAGCTTTAGTGCAAAACTTGCTTGAGACTTCAACTATCACAACTGCTGTGCAGGTTCTTCTAGCAGCTCTCACGCCCAGAGTCAGAGCCTTGGATCAACAACCCCTGCTGCTTCCCATAGTGCTGAGAGGAATGAGTGACCCACGCACCCCACCGCAGGTATTTCAGAGTTGGGCCAACACAGTCACCAGGAATTGACCCCCTCCCCTCCTACCACAGTCTGGCAGGTATCCCTAGACCAGCTCAGCCTGCGGTGTGCCCTGAGTGTCTGGATTTCTGAACACTGTTTGAAATCCCACACGGGAAACGCCTTTATTTTCACAAGCTCTTTTCGGGGGCTGGCTCCACAGCCTGTTTCTTGCAGAAGGGAATTGGTTACCTAACACTCAGCCTGCCTGGATGCAGGTAGTAGATTCTGCCAGGATCTCTGTAGGGCCATGGCTCTTTGCCTCCCACTCAGACCTTGACCTTGTTCAGCCCAAAATCCCACAGTGCAATCTGACCTTAGCCCACCATAGCCAGGACGTTTAGTGATGTCTACTGGCCTGTATGCCAGGGGGGTGGCCTGTTAACGAGTGACAGCCATAAAAGCAGTGTGTTGGCACGTGGGTGAGGGGTCATGTACCCCTCTGGAGGCCCATGTGCATGGGTTGAATTTGTGGCTGCAGAAAGGTCCCCAGGATGCTGTGGCAGAGCTTTGGTTGGGGGCCCCAGTGTTGGTCACCTGTAGGTCCAGTGGCTACTGGTATCCTTGGCAGTCTACACAGGCCAAGAGTCAAACAGGATGGGGCGGGGCAGGGGGTTCTGCCAGCTAACACCCAAAGCCTTTCAATCACCAGCATATTCCAGCCCAGCGTGATCCCTGTCCCTGCATCTCACAAGCCCTTCAGCATACCTGGCCACATCTGTGCCAGCACTGCAGAGCATGAGGTGAATTCCCATCCCATGAGCTCCCCCCACATCCTGGACAGCCAACAACACCTAGTTGCAACTTCCCTGGGCTAGGTCAGAACTGGTGACCTGGTGATGGGTCCCTGGCCCAGGCCCCCTTCCTGCCTCCCTCTCCCCAGACCTTGCTGGCTGTTGGTGGCTCTCAGAGTCCAGCTCTGGTGGCCAAAGCTCAGCATCTGGCCTCCCCTTTGAGGCCCTGGGGTGGGGAGGAGAGAGGGGAATATTGGGGTTGAAGCGACTAGGACTAGAGTCCACGGGAGAGTGAATGTGTCGGGCATTGGGACCAGCCCCAGGAGCTGCTCCAATAAGTTTGGGTTAAATAAAAGCTGACAGGCAGAGTTGCACTCCTGTCTAACCCTACTCTGCCCCAGAGCCAAGGCTCACCAGGGAATGGGTGCAAATAGAAGACTCTAAGCACAGTGTGACTTGGGGGGAGCCAGCAGTGTGTGCATACACGTGCATTGAGGTCCCTGTGGGTGCCTCCTGAGGCAGTTTGATTTCTTTCCTTCCAAGAGACCCCCTCTGCCCCTCCCCTCTCTGGCCTCTGACTAGCTAGGGCTGGGGCTGTTTAGTTTATCTGACTGATGAGGGGAAGTGCTGAAGCAGAGGCTAAGGTGTCCAAGCTTTGCAGCCCTGAAAACCATGCTGGGACCTGTAACATCCAAGGACTGGACCATGTGATCTGATGGGGAGGGAAATGCTGTAGCTGGTGTTTAAACTGGGCTGAGAAAAGTCTAGGGTCTGTCATTGTTCATGGAAGGTTAGAGCAGGGGACTGGGAGACAGGACTCCTGGGTTCCATTCCAGCTCTGTCCTGGACTTGCTCTGTGACCTTGGGCAAGTAGCTTTCCCTCCGAGGCTATGCCTCAGTTTCCCTACCTATAGTGTGCTTTCAAAGCATGGGCTTTGTCTGTGGATGGAACATGGTGAAGGTGCCACATTTAAATACAGTCACACTGCCCTTTGCCAGCAGCCAGCTCATCTGGCATGCAACACAGAGGCCTCATTTGGGGTAGTATATACACCCTCTGTCATCCCACATGCTTGGAGCTGTGCCTGTGGTCTCCATGGCCCCTGCTCTAGCCCATATGGGATGCTGCATGCTGGGATTTGAGGCTCTGTGAGCTGCAACATGCATTGCAGCTGGTGTCGCTCTTTCCAGGCCTCCTCTGAAGGGCTGATCTTCAGAGGTCCTGAGGCTCTGGAAGCTGCAGGTGGTTGAACATCTCTCATTCCCCAGCTCTCACACCACTCCTTCGCCCTCCCATGCAAGCCGGACTCATCCTTGCCACTGGCAAAGGACCTATGTGGAAGACGCTTTCCCTTCCTTAGTTTCACTGGCGGCCAGCTCTGGCGATTTCAGCATGAGCCTCCCAACAACTGGTGTTTTTCTTAAAGCCTGGGCTCCCGGAGTCAGGTGGTTCCTAGCCCTGGTGGTTGTGGAGAAAAGCTGGAAAACGTGACCCTCCGCCCCCCCTCCCCCCCCCCCAAGGCTCAGAGACCAGGAGACAAACGCGGAGAAGAAGCCAGATGTAGGATTTCTAAAAATCTCCTGAGGTTTAGTCCAACCTCATGGTCTGGAGGCCCAAATTGTGCTCTTGCTCCCGGCCCCTCAAGTCAAGGCGCTTTTCTTTGTCCAGCATGAGAATTTATAGAGGATCCCTAACTGCTGAGCGGGCTGGGAGCCTCCCTCCGGGCTTCATTGGCCAGAAGGCACAAGGGACTCCAGACACCAGCAGCCAATGAGACGCCCAGGATCGGTTTAAAGGGCCCCCCCCTCCGGCCCTACAAAAGGTGCTGCAGGCGCCCTGCCAGGCCAGCCGGGCGGATGGGGCGGTAGCAGGAGGCGTGGAGTGTGTCTGTACCAGTTCAGACAGGTGCCCCCCTGGGGACGCCACCCCCAGCCCGCACCTCTCTGCGAAGGTAAGAGCTCCGCTGTCCCTGCAAGCGCCCGGCTCTGTCTTCCCGCCCGCCCCTCTCCAGGGTTAGTCCTCTGCGATTCAACCCTGGGTTTGGCAAGTTCGAGGAACAGAGGCCCCCGCTCGGGCACTGCTCTAAGAGGCTGCTGTTCCCCCCGACCC